ATTTGCATGTTGTATCCTCACAGGAGAGAAGAACTCACTCTTTATATGCACAAGGTGGTTGATCTAGGCATTAAGTACCGGGGTCCTCTTTCTATGAGTTCAACAAATCCGTGTCAGCCAAGGCGGCAACTCATCTGGCCCAATTTAATATAAAAATGGACTGGTGCCAGATGGACACGGAACTTTTCTGCTGACACTTTTCTGGTTTGAGGCCACCGTCCTGTGCCACCTGTAGCTCAACATTCCACTAATCTGACTTGTGCGCTTGTGAAACGAACCCACCCACTTCCCACCACTCCTTCACCACACACACCAGACAGGAAATCGAGCAAAGGGACAGGGTAGACCCATTGTGTTTTTGGGAAGGGCGCAGGTGTGTAACAACTTTAACACTGGTGCATGCAGCTTCGGCGCATGTCGGTTGTTGCACATCTGCTCCATTTGCTTCAGAGCACATACTAACACCATGTGCCCGGCCCGACTGTCTCCTAATAAACGACTGACTGAGGTTCATATTGATATTATTGCTTTCTACCTACACTCCCACCCAGCAAGGCAGTTGGTGGAGTATTTGGTGGCTGGTTTCTCACAGGGTTTTCACACGGGACTCATCATCATCCCCACAGGCACGCTAGAATGCTCTAACCTACTCTCAGCTGATAAGGTGGATCACCTTCTTTCCACTGAAATTAAAGCAGGCTTCATGATTGGCCCTTTCACTGCATCTCCTTTCTCATCCTGGCGAACCAACCCCATTGGCATAGCCGTGCATAAATACTCTAATAAGAAACGATTAATTATCAACCTTTCTGCACCTCATTCTTCGGCCATCCCCAGCATAAATTCACTCATAACCGCTGAGGAGTTTTCACTACACTACACCAGAATTGACGACATTATGCAAGCCATTATCACAGCAGGCAGCAAGGCTTGGTTGAGTAAGACCAACATCACCAATGCCTTCAAGCTCCTACCCATTCACCCCTCACTTTGGCACTTACACAGTGTTAAATGGCGGGACATGTACTATTTTTCTACTCGGCTTACTTTTGGGTCAAGGAGCAGCCCTAAGCTGTTTGCCATTTTCGCTGAAACGCTCTGTTCGCTGCTCCTAAACATTTAGGTGTCCATCAGTCATCCACTATTTAGACGATTTTTTGTTAGTAGAACCGGGGTCACACACACCAAGTAGCATTCGCAACACCACAGCCCTCATCACTACACTAGGGGTACCCCTGTCACCAAGCAAAATGCTTGGCTCCTTCCAAGCCAGCCTACCCCCCGAAAAATTGACCCACATTAGAGACTAAATCGGTCTGTTCCTGGGGAGTGATACATGCACAAGAAAGGGACTCCAGTCCTTATTGGGGTCCCTTAACTTTGCGATGCGGATCATTTCACAGGGCAGATCATTCGTCTCTAGGTTACTGTGTTTACTTCATGGGGCGTCCAACTCCTGCCCTATTACTTTGGACGGTCCAGCCAGAGCTGATCTGCACATGTGGTACAACTTCTTGGCCGAATGGAACGGAGTCTCCATGTTTATACCTCCACTATCCGATCTTTCACCTACCATTTACACTGACGCAGCAGCACACACAGGGTTTGCGTCCATTTTCGGCAACCACTGGTTTAGGGATAACTGACCCACTGAGTCGGATGCCTTGCCGGCCTTTAGAGAAACATCCTCTTTATTCGAGATTTACCATATAGTGGCGGCGGCCCATACATGGAGTCACCTCTGGACCGGCAAGACAGTAAAATGCTACTCAGATAACTCGTCAGCCTGCGATATTATCAACAAAGGGTGGTTCTCCTCTCTTACCATCATGAGGCTGATACGCAGGCTGACTTGGCTGGCAGCAACCGCTCAGTTCCACCTTGTCTGCATCCACATTCCTGGTATCCGTAACACAGCTGCTGACGCTCTTTCCCGCTCTAATTTTCAGGTATTCCTCCAGTCACTCCCCATGGACCACCACCTACCATCCCAGATACCACCTTTTCACAAACTAATCATGGACTAACTGAGCTACTACGCTATGCTCAGGCACTTACGCACCACACACTCTCACCCAACACCACTACCACTTGTGCTAGGGCACTGACTATTTTTTGAATAAATGCCCTACAGAGTTTTCACTTCCTATGAGACTTGTCCATTAAAACCATGGTGGCTTTTGCCTCCTTCTGTCACCTACACCTTTAAATTATCCCATAACACTATCACACGTCCTCGCTAACTTTCCTAATTCCTGAAGATGACTGGTGTCCAGTCAAAGTACTTGACTTATTTTGGTATCTCACCACTCACACTCACTGGACACTCCACTATTGCTACTCCAAAGGGCACCCACTCACCACTACTTAATTCACTTCTTCTCGTTAGGACTCTACTGTCTAGGTTGGGCTACAACCCAGCTTCCTCCTCAGGTCACTCATTCTGTATAGGCACAGCCTCTTCTGCATCCAGCTGAAATACGCCAGTCCACGTCATTAAGAAACTTGGCCGCTGGAAATCATCCATTTATAATATGTACATACCACAGCCCGAGAAAGCGCTTCATCAAGCTTTCAGAAGTCTAGCCTTGTAACATGCAATAAAGTGTGTTTTCTTGTATCCTCTTTTTGCCCTCTTTTTATTACAGGCCTACTCATACGTTGGTTTCGGCACACCTCAACCAACTTTTGCATCTTCTACAATCTATAACATATTGAAATTCCGAGCACAAGTTAAAAGGCCATTAAGCCTAAATTTGTGGGAGGAGTTAAGGCCCCTACTTAAACCCCTAGCCCCTACTCACCTGTGTCGTTCAAGCTGATTGACCCCACCCACCTACACCCATCTATATATTACATTTCACCTTGGTGGACCCTCTTTTTATTACAGGTCTACTCAATCAACTTTTGCTTCTTCTACAATCCATAACTTATTGAAATTCCGAGCACAAATATATATATATATATATATATATATATATGTGTGTATATGTGTATATATGTGTGTGTGTCTGTATATATATATATATACACTGCTCAAAAAAATAAAGGGAACACTTAAACAACACAATGTAACTCCAAGTCAATCACACTTCTGTGAAATCAAACTGTCCACTTAGGAAGCAACACTGAGTGACAATCAATTTCACATGCTGTTGTGCAAATGGGATAGACAACAGGTGAAAATTATAGGCAATTAGCAAGACACCCCCAATAAAGGAGTGGTTCTGCAGGTGGTGACCACAGACCACTTCTCAGTTCCTATGCTTCCCAGCTGATGTTTTGGTCACTTTTGAATGCTGGTGGTGCTTTCACTCTAGTGGTAGCATGAGACGGAGTCTACAACCCACACAAGTGGCTCAGGTAGTGCAGCTCATCCAGGATGGCACATCAATGCGAGCTGTGGCAAGAACATTTGCTGTGTCTGTCAGCATAGTGTCCAGAGCATGGAGGCGCTACCAGGAGACAAGCCAGTACATCAGGAGACGTGGAGAAGGCCGTAGGAGGGCAACAACCCAGCAGCAGGACCACTACCTCCGCCTTTGTGCAAGGAGGAACAGGAGGAGCGCTGCCAGAGCCCTGCAAAATTACCTCCAGCAGGTCACAAATGTGCATGTGTCTGCTCAAACGGTCAGAAACAGACTCCATGAGGGTGGTATGAGGGCCCAACGTCCACAGGTGGGGATTGTGCTTACAGCCCAACACTGTGCAGGACGTTTGGCATTTGCCAGAGAACACCAAGATTGGCAAATTCACTACTGGCACCCTGTGCTCTTCACAGATGAAAGCAGGTTCACACTGAGCACATGTGACAGATGTGACAGAGTCTGGAGACGCCATGGAGAATGTTTTCCTGTCTGCAACATCCTCCAGCATGACCGGTTTGGCAGTGGGTCAGTAATGGTGTGGGGTGGCATTCTTTGGGGGGCCGCACAGCCCTCCATGTGCTCACCAGAGGTAACCTGACTGCCATTAGGTACCGAGATGAGATCCTCAGACCCCTTGTGAGACCATATGCTGGTGCGGTTGGCCTTGGGTTCCTCCTAATGCAAGACAATGCTAGACTTCATGTGGCTGGAGTATGTCAGCAGTTCCTGCAAGACAAAGTCACTGATGCTATGGACTGGCCCGCCCGTTCCCCAGACCTGAATCCAATTGAGCACATCTAGGACTTCATGTCTCGCTCCATCCACCAACGTCACGTTGC